GGCAGGGTGACATGAGCTTTAACATAAGGGCTTTGCACGGTAGAGGGCGAAGGCGAATTAACACAGGGAGATGAGGGCGGTGTAACGTTCACAATCTGGGACGCATTTTTCAAACCGAAATATTTGACTGAAATGGTATCTAACATGTCCTCAAACTGCGCTTGAGTGATATCTACCTCTAACTGTTTCTCAGGGGGAAGAGTGGCGTTCAGCTCAATAATCTCTGTTTGGGTTGCATTGAAATTACTCTCAATCTGCAGTACTCTATTCCAAGTTCCTTCAAAGGAGAACCAATTTCTAGAATTAAGGGCTTGTGCGCCCAGAAGGGAACGTTGCAACATATCATAGTACCTATTGCGTTTGGCGTATAGGGCTGTGAATTCTACAGGGACTTGAACAGCTCTGGAAGCAGTTTGGCGCATGGAGCGCTTGGTGGGCTGCTTGCCAGGGTTCTCTCCATTCACCTGATCATCAAATTCATTATCTGAACCCTTTTGTGAGTCACTACCCTCGTTGTGTAGACTCATAATGGTGAGGTGATAAGAATAATATGCACAGGGAGAAAAACACTGGTGTATATAACCTCACTTTTGACTGAAATAGCAGCTCTTATCTGTCTCACTAAGGAGTAGCCAGAAAGAGAAAACAGGTTGCTTGAGGTACAAATTGGGCTCAAATCAGTGAGCAATAACTTGAAAATGTAATTAAATCAATTCATGAAAGAAAATGACTTCATAAGCAGCAAGGCACCCAGGAAGGGAGCCCGACGGAGACTGGCACACAATGGCTGGAGTTCAAAATGGCCTAAATCATGTGTTTCTTCACTCAGACAAATAATGAAAAAACTAAGAATAAAGGGAGGGTAACAGTACTATTGAATTGAAGGCAGGAGGGTAGGATACAGGAGGCGGAGCCTATGAACCAGGTGTAATCAATTATGGGGCCTGACTGGGAACCTGTTCATTCAACTCGCTCCAGCACTCCAGAGATGCCAAGCATAACTTTAAATTTTGTAAATATAACCATGCCTTCACTCACATGTTATGAAGCTTAAGAACTTTGAAGTGACAGCTTAGAAAAAGGGTTTCTGAGGGTGGCTGACACATAAAGCTTCAGTCACTTACTTTAAAGAGTGGTCCAAAATTCATTATATCACAAATGCGGCTCGGCTAGGACCATGTTTTGTGCCGCTATAAAATCGAAAGGTAAAATCGATCTTTGGGGGGCCTGAATTCC